CAGTGGGCTTGTATTGCGTGAAGTCAGCTGTAATCCCTCAGCACTGCAGCTAGACTTCTCTGGGTCCGTCCTGCTGATGACCCCAGACTGTGAACATGTCACTAGACTGGCATACTGGAGACTTAGGACTTCTGAATTAGGGATGCAAGCATGCTCATTGAAGTGGAATGGTGACTTATGTATCACTCTGTCCCAGTCATGGCCCTGAGGAACCGTTGCAGTTTAGTGCTGTTCTTGCTCAAACCGCTGTGTAGGTGTGTGTGTGTGTGTGTGTGTGTGTGTGTGTGTGTGTGTGTGTGTGTGTAATGCAAGTCAGTACAGCTTGTTCATTTTATTAACGACTTATGTGTCACTGGGTGTGGACAATGTCCAGACCCACCAGCTCACAGCCAGGGATGGACTGGCCATCGGTAGGAATGGGACAATTCTCAGTGGGACGCTGAGAGAGCGAGAAAGAGAAGCTGCATTAAAGTTGTCACGTTTCTAATGTAGTGTGAATAGAGACCACCCAGGACAAGTACTGGAGTGCACATACCTAGAAATGTTTCTGGCATGGCCATCAGCCAATCACACACCCCAAAACAAAGCGTAATGACAATAACTGGGAAAGGTAAACCATGAAGGCTGGAGAGAGTAAATAAGTGAATGAGTAACTAAGTAAGTAGGTATTTATTTATAAAGCACATTTTAACCCAAAGTGCTGTGTAAGCAGGGCAAGTTTAAAACACCAGTAAAAGACAACAAAGTCTATAACAAAACAAGATCCAGTACAATCAAAGCTAACCATAAAAATAGCTTTTTAATGTAGATCTACAAGCATCAGTAGAGGGTGCAGTCCTAATGTCCAGAGGTAGACTGTTCCTCAGACTCGGAGCTGCGACAGCAAAGGCCTGGTCACCTTTGAGTTTCAGCTGAGATTGTGGCACAGCCAGTAGCAACTGATCTGATGACCTCAGGGCTCTGTAGAAAGGATAAGGTTGGAGCAGATCTCCTTTACAAGACGGGGGCAGATTCATTTAGTGATTTGAAAACAAATAAAACTAAGAAAGAAAAAAAAAAGAAAGAGAGGGTGGGGTGTGGGACTGTGAAAGGATGCATGGTACAAAACACAGGACCAAGAAGCAGAGAAATGCATGAAACTACACAGTTTATTTGCATATCAGAGCAAGGAACTGCAGGGCCAAAGGGCAGAAGGGGAAAGTTCAGAGCTCAGAGCCTGTGAGCTGGTTAACTCAGTAGTTAACTCAGTAGTTCATTCAGTCTACTTGTCCACAGTGGCCGGATGCACCAGCTCTGCGTAAATTCAAACATAAACTGGTTTACTAAGTTCAGGTTTACACTCTACTTAATCAGAACAGTTTCTACCCCAAACTAGTTTTACCGGTGAGCTCAGCAGTTACTCAATATTTACACCTCCCTTAGCAAGTTTTGAGGAAACCATCAGAGCCCATATAGAAAGCACAAAAGACCAAAATTATGATTTGGTTAACTTAGCTAAAAATTCAAACCCCTATATGCTGTAATTTTACTTACAGCTCTAATCATCGGCCTGGTTTAAAGTCAGAGCACGAAGCGAAACACCTACAGCTCCAGCTCAGCTGCTCAAATGGATAAACTGATCTGCTGTTGTGTCGGTCAGCCAGAAACTGTCCAGTTAAAACCTGCATATTTGGTTTTCTCAGTGAAATATTAAAGAATAATCAGACAGATAATTAGCTTTATTCAGTTTAACCTGTACACACTGTTCTCTTCGACGCTGGATATTTTTCCATGGAGAAGTCAGAGCCAACTGCCATTGTGTTTCCATGGCAGCGGGTTCACTGATTGGTTCTGAACGTTATCGTCATGTTAAAGTGACGGATGCATTAGTTAAGACAAGATTTACGGATTTGTGGCGCAACCAGATTTAATAATATGATAGTTTGAAACTAAGTAGACACAGTAAAGACTTATATAAACTTACGCAAACCTGGTGCAGCCCAGTCCAGACGGCTTACTGTTAATCTTACACTAGCTGGCATGGCTAATAAACTAGCTTGCTAACTAGCAATCACTTCAGTTCTCAAGCAAGCTACAGCATAATGACATAATTCATACACATGTACTTCAATAGGGTTAAACAGTCCATATGTTCAAAATTATACATCCACTTTCTGTAACTACAACGGCAGACTTGTTTTCTCCATCACAGAAAAATGTGAAAGCTTATTCTGTTCTGTCAGTTCATTCTTTTAGCATCACAGACAGATATTTGCGGAAAAGTGTTTATGCTGTTGCTAGATGGCGCTGTCATCTTTTAAACGAACGTGTTTATTTTATTACCGCTACGAAGTTCCCTGTCAAACATCTAAGAAATGCCTGGAAAGTACACTGTTAGGAATTTCAATGAAATAACTAAATTATTTGATTTGTATGTGTTTTTAATTTCCATAACTTGCCGATCTTGCACAAACAATAATCCAACAATACTGACATTTTTATTGCATTGTATATGATGGGTCCCATGATCCCTTGCAGTCAGAAAGGCGAATGAATAGCAGTAATATTGTAAGCTCCTCCTTAAGTCCTCCTTTCAGACTGAACTGCTGTGAGTAATGTGGCTTCATTTAAGCTCCAGCTGACTGAGCTCTGTTTTGGTGGTTAATGATGAACAGTGGTGCTTGAAAGTTTGTGAACCCTTTAGAATTTTCTATATTTCTGCACAAATTTGTCCTAAAACTTCATCAGATTGTCACACAAGTCCTAATAGTAGATAAAGAGAACCAAATTAAACAAATGAGACAAAAATATTAGACCTGGTCATTTATTTATTGAGGAAAATGATCCAATATTACAGATTTGCTAGTGGCAAAAATATGTGAACCTTTGCTTTCAGTATCTGGTGTGACCCATTTGTATAGAAATAACTGTAACTGAACGTTTCCGGTAACTGTTGATTAGTCAGATGCAGCAAAACAGGCCCAAACCATGATACTACCACCACCGTGTTTCACAGGCGGGATAAGGTTTATATGCTGGAATGTAGTGTTTTCCTTTATCTAAACATAACGCTTCTCATTTACACCAAAAAGATCTATTTTGGTCTCATCTGTCCACAAAACATTGTTCCAATAGCCTCCTGGCTCATCCATGTGATCTTGCTTGTCCATGTAAAACTGCAGACGGGCAGCAATGTTCTTTTTGGAGAGCAGTGGCTTTCTCATTGCAGTCCTGCCATGTACACCACTGTTGTTCAGTGTTCTCCTGATGGAGGGTTCATGAACATTAATATCAGCCACTGTGAGACAGGCCTGTAGCTGCTTAAAAGTTACATGCCTTGCTTTTGGTGTGAACAGGTGTTGTTAGCATGTGTGCTGCTGGGCACAGAGCACTAATAGACTGTCATTCTCTCAAAAATGAAAAGTAAGATATTCTTCATTCGTGTATAATAAATATTGACTTTCATATGAGTTTATTTAAATGACTTTATGTAAAGGTTTTACAGCTAAACCACACGGCTAAATTATGGGCTATGGGTAAGTTATTTGTAAATAAAACAAACATACTTGGCACATTTTTTTTTAATAATATTACTAATAACATGTTGAAAAACGTTTGTCTGCTGTTTGGCTCTGAATAAGCCTCTACACACTGTTACGAGCGAACCATGCAGGTTTTCTGATGCTGCACAATTTGACACATTTCCTCAAATTCATTTAGATGTGCTGTTTTCATTCCTTTAATCAGAACCCAGCTCTTCCATACTGTCTCATACATCTTTATTTCAGATAAAGATATTCTTTAGTAAGTACAAATAAATGAAAAAGGCTTTTATTTTTTACCTGATTAGCTTCAAGAGTGCAGTAAACATCATTCACCACTAGAGGGTGCTAAACCACTAATATATATGAGTCTTCCTGTAAAAGTCATGTATTTTAAATAAAAGACGATCACAATGTTCTCAGGTCTGTTTGTGTACAGAAACACACTAAATGTACATTTAATTTACAGAAATATTACAAAAACTACACAATCATTCTGGAAATAAACTCTGTAAATGATCAGAAGTTTAAACACTTGAAGTGTTTGTAGAGTTAAAGATGAACAGATCACAGACCCTCAAACACACTTTGACCTGGTGGTCATTCAGATCATTGTGTTGTTTACAGTGTTGGGTCACCTAATCCAGTTCATTAGATAATGAGGGGAAAAGACCATGAGCCCTGTGCAGTTTGTAGGCTGTGGGGGATAAAAAGCTCTTTGTAGAGTGAGGATCGTCACAGACGCTGCAGTTTGTGGGGTGAAAGATACTAGCACACAACACAGGACCACACTGATGTTCAATATTTCTTCAGTATACATTCACAAGCTGTTAAACCCATGTCAGATAAATGCTCTGGTAACACTTATTAATGACAGTAACTTATAAGACATCTATTAACTGTGCTTAAAGTGTAAAAAGTGATGTCACATTTAGCCCTGCCTTTTCATCGATGTTTCCACTTGTGTGTAGTTTACCTTTTTTTCCAGGGGGGTTCCTACCATGAGCCTTTGTGGGTGGCCGTCTGTGTAGCCACGCCTCCAGGGTCTCTCTGAGCCAGAGCCAGTGAGTCACAACAACACCAACATTGACAGCAAAAGTATGAAATATTACACATAGAATTATACAGAGACCAAAACAGAGTTAAACAAATCAAACTATCTTCTGTTTTAGATCTGGTTAGAAAGCCCCCCTTTACCTTGATGCAGTGTCGCTGCTGTCAGAGCAAAACCTTGTATCTCCAAAATGGTAATTTTACAGGAGAAGAAAAAACATACTTTACTTTTAATGTACGTCAATGGAACCAGACCTTTTTTCTGAGTAATTCTGGGTCATTTCTTTTGGTCCATTCATCATGAAGTTCACCCATAAAGTAAAGGACAACAGGAATTTTCAAACTATGTCAAAAACTGAAAAATGGAGAAGTGAGGTTTTGTTCCACCAACAGAGATGTATATGTGTGTGTGTGTGTGTGTGTGGGTGTGTGTGTGTGTGTGTGTGTGTGTGTGTGTGTGTGTGAGAAACAACTTGCAGATTTAATTTGCTTTGAAGCATGAGATAAAATTGTATTTAAAATGATGAAAAATGCGTATGCAGGTTGGTGTGTCCAAACTTTTGAGTGGTAGTGCACATGAATATATATGAATTCTACTACTAGGATTCTACTAACTAGGGGCAATTTAGTATCTCCAGTTCTCCGCTGGACTTTGGATCGAAGCCCACAGATTCTTGGGGAAAACATACAAACTCCACACAGAGAGGACCTGGTCGCCCAGCCAGGGAATCAAACTCGTCTTGCTGTGAGGCGACAGCTCTACCCACCGCACTACTGACAAAACAGTGTAAGCAATATTCTGAATCTATTCATAAGATAACCATCAAATTTAACTGATAAATCATTATTTATCACATAATCTCACAGATGATCCAACACCATAAACTCCAAACCCAGCGTAGAGCGGCTGAGTGAATGTGGTGTGGACTGTGTGTAGGAGGGTCATTGTGTCAGAGACGCTGTAGAAGGACAGAGTTCCTGCACTGTGATCCACATACACTCCTATTCTGGAGGATGATGGTCCTGAGATCTCAGTCTCAATGTTGTTGTGCCGGAAAGTGAGAGAAGAAGAAGAACACCGCAGACTCCAGGACTGACTGTTGTATCCAAACCCACAATCAATACCCCCTCCTTTCCTGCTGATCCCTTTATATGAGACTGATATGTACACAGACCATCCTCTCCCACTGCTCCACTCAACCTCCCAGTAACAGCGTCCACTCACACTCTCCTTACACAACACCTGAGACCAGCAGTCAAATCTCTCTGGATGGTCAGAGTATGACTGGTCTTTATTACTCCACGTCACCACTCTGTTCTTCTCAGACAGACTGAGGTGACGATACGCTGTGTTGGGATCCAGAGTCAGCTGACAGAAATCTAAAAAAGAGAAAAGAAAAAAGGAAAGAAATCCTAAATCCTTTCATCCTTAAACATCTCAACACTGAATATTTTAAATGCTGTATAATGTTCACCAAGAACAACAGATCAAACAAGAAAAAATACAAACAATATCTCTGTGTGAGTGTGTGTGAGTGTGTGTGTGTGTGAGTGTGTGTGTGTATGTGTGTGTGTGGGAGTGTGTGAGAATGTGTGAGTGTGTGTGTGTGTGTTCTTGTAGTTCTATACTTGTGAGAACCCCATGTCCTCACTATGATAGGATTATATGAAATTTTTCCTGAAGTGAGGATATTTTGCTGGTCCTCACTTGAGCATGTGTTGTTTTCACCCAAATTACTTTTTTATTTGAAAAGTAAAAGAGCAGAAAAAATCCTGTTGGATACTGAGGTTAAGGTTAGGTTTAGGTGTAGTGTTATTTAGCTATACACAAAAATCAATAGAAATCTATGGATGTCCTCATATGTATAGCAAGACAAACGTGTGAGTGTGTGAGGGTGAGTGTGTGAGTGTGTGTGTGAGTGTGTGTCTGTGTGTCTGTGTCTGTGTGTGTGTGTGTTTGTTACTCACACTGCAGAAAATCTTCTCTGGTTTTTGGTTCTGAGGATAAAATCTGAATTGCTGCAGCTGTGGAGACACAAACACACAACAGACCAACACAGTCAATAGAATAGAATAGAATAGAATGAGAGAGACTTCATGCAGTAAAAAGTAAAAATGGTTATATTAAAAGTGGAATCTACATTATTTTGTCTTTCTCTGCTGTGTTAAGATTTCCATCCTTCTGTTCCACAGCAGGACAGCTCCTCTTACCATGTGGAGGGATTTTACTGAACTCCTCTCTGCAGAACTCCTCTAGTCGCTCCTTCAGATCAGAGAGAGATCTCCTCACTCCATCAAATGAGAGGTGCTGATGGACAGTGATGCTGGGTGAGTCCTCAGATCCAGAAGAGACACAGAGAGACTGGAAACTCTACAGAGAGAACAAACACAGTGGAGAAAGATAAAGGAGTACAAGAGAAATGAAGGAGCTCCAATCAGACTAAAGACAGACTTGTGATCACAGACAGGTAGATTTACTGCTGCCTTAATGAACTTTTGCTGAGAGGAGTTTTAGAAGCTGGATGAGGAGCAGGTTCCTCTGTAGATCAGTGATTGTTACCTGGAGGAAATGGATGTGATCCTCTGTGTGTGAAAGCTGCTCCAGCTCAGTGTGTCTCCTCTTTAGATCAGCGATCTCCTGCTCCAGTTTCTCCAGGAGTTCTTCAGCTCCACTCAGTTCAGCCTCCTCCTGAGCTCTGATCAGCTCTGCTACCTCAGAGCGCTTTTTCTCAATGGAGCGGATCAGTTCAGTAAAGATCCTCTCACTGTCCTCCACTGCTGACTGAGCACAGCGCTGTTAGGACAAGAACACACCAGGTGGAGGAACATTTCACCTCTTAAACTGAGCCGCATTATTCAGTCATTCATCTCAACTTTTATCAGAGGAATTTTTCAGTAACTATATGAAAAATCTATACACACATACAGACACATAAAGAGTTTTTCCTTAAATTACCTTACATGCAGTTATCAAGTAATATAAGCTTATCTCTATTATCATGGTGCAAGCTGCATGTCCGTATCCTCACAGCTGACAAACCACACAAAGTTGTTAAATAATATACAGTAGACATGCTTGTCGTTACTGACACTATATGTATGTATATATATATATATATATATATATATATATATATATATATATATATACATACACACTGTATATTCAGGCTTCAAAATGGCTGATATGCTATGTGACATTAATTTGTCCCTGTTTATAGGTAACAGTGTGTAATGCACTGTCAAAATCAAGAGACTGACTGATAGTTATTGTCCGATATGAGCTACTTGTAGATAAAATGGTATCTGTGTTCATAATGGCAAATATATGACAATTAAAAAGGAAATGGAGAGGTGAAAGACAGATCATTCAACCATGTTATGAGTGTTGTCATTGCATAGTTTGTCCATCAGAGGGCGATCTGCAACTTCTCTTTTGATAACGCTACAAATCACTACCATCAACTGACCAAGCAGAGTCAAACAGAGTAACATTATCAACATTCATGTTAAGCTGATGTTGGTCATGTGAAATACATTACTTAAATAATAATAAAATGATCCCCGTCCTGGAAACATTCATATCAGCCGTGTCTGCTTTTACTGCAGTAACATGAAAGCTGGTCCTGTCAGTCAAACATCACAATTAGCCCATGTTTAACATTACAGTTGTTTACATGTCTTTTTTTTTGCCAGCTTATTGTTTGAAATGTTTCCTGTTCTACCTTAAATGGTGCAGGAGTTACAGCCGCAGCCTCAGGGGCCAGAATGTAACTGCTGCACCATTTAAGGTGGAACCGGAAAATTGGATTATGCCATGGTCAGGTGCTCCTGCATGTAATCCAGTTAATCATTACATTCTTTAAACGACGTTTATTTGTGTTCGTAACTCCACAGTGTGAAATTCAACAGTTGCAAGTTTATTTTTAACTGCATTATGTCATGTTGTCATGTTGAGGACTCCTAAATAACTACACATAACAAATGTTTAGGAAGATCTTTGTTTATGTTGTGTATTTCTGAAAAAGAAAGAACGATTTTGGCCAATATGTCGAATACATCAGATTTTTAAATCCTCAAAAACAAAAAAAACCCTGTATCGGTCGGGCTCTACCAAAAACCACATAAGCGAGTCTATTAGGCCTTTTTCAGTCATGCAGCTCTAAATGATTTTTTTGGCATATCTGATTTGAGCAGCCCAGATTTCCTGCAGTCTGAACGGCAAAAAGCTACATGAAATCTGACTTTTCCCAAACGGATTCGCGCCACATTCGTAGGTCGTATCAAATCTAATTCGATCAGATTTCTGGATTTGTGACTTTTTAAGAGTGAGACAGTTTATCACACTCAGAATGGGCGACAACAAAGTCTATGATGCAAATTCAGCTTAACATGGAGAAGCTTTTAACAGATTTAAACACAGATTCTGTTGTGAATTATAGCCTCGTCGCTCTGCTAGACAGTCATCATTGTTAGGTTTGCTAAGTTTTGCTCTTATCTTGTCAGCATATGCACCTGTGCGTCAGTACTACAGCAAGCAAATGCGACTCCAGTCTGACCATGTATATCAGATTTGGTTACAACTTGAAAACTAAACAGTCAGTGTAAAAATTCAGATAGAAGAAACAAATCTGATTTAAACTGGGGGGGGGCTGAAGGGGTCCCACACCATCCATAATAGCAAGAGGACACCCCCCATAACTTGACCATGTTCTTTACTAAGTTTTCATCATATTCTAAATGAGATTCCTATCAGGCTGTTAGGCTATTAGACGAACTTGCTGTGTCTTTGATTCAGTTTCTCTGTGTAAAAATCATTTACATTGATGCAGATATGAAGTTAAATGAGTTCTGCTTAGTAATATTACAGACGTAAACCTTAAAAAAATATACTGTGAAAACACAATATATAAATATACAAAATGTAGGTCACTTCATGGTCAGATCTTCTACCAGTGGACCCCCAAGACCTCTGCTGCAGTCTGAACTCTGTAAGACTCTGCAAGTCTGTGACAGTTTAGCTCTGCAGTTTGGACGATGCTAATGAGTGCAGTATACGCTACCTTCTGATACATTAGCCAAACTCTGAACACTAAACATGTCTTGGTGAATCCATCATATTTGTGGTGAGAGGAAAACTGTAGATCTGATTTCTCACCAAACAGTTCCTTTAAAACTGAACCATCATTTCCTCTCTTACTGTGATTCTAGATGACTTACTGTCCACACTGTGGAGGAGAGACTGACTGAGCTCTGAAACACCAAATCTCTGCTCAGTTCTCACCTTAAGAGTCTTCACAGCCTGTTTCAGCTCCTGCTGCTTCTTCTGTTTCTCCTGGATTCTCTGCTGGAATTTACTCTGAATCTCCTTCAGCTGATTCTATGAACAAATACATTTTATGATTTTTTTTGTAAATTAAGAGCTACAAAGTTAAACAAGTAAACATTCTATACAGTTAGGCTGGAAGGCGGGTGTTGGCTGGTCACATGATCACTGACTAGTCTGACCTGTTTACTGAAAACTACCTTACACACAGTTTCTATGAAAACTCACTGCTTGAATTCAAGAACTGAGAGATCAGTTTAAACTGTTTACCTGATTAATGCAGCTCATTCTAGACTACAAACCCAATTAGCCTGAACTGAACCCAAATGATTTCTAGTTCTGACCTGTTTCTCGGTTCTCTCTGTTACAGCTGGGACTGTATCGTGACCTTTGTGCTCTGCCATTGTACATAAACAGCAGATGCAGCTTTGGTCAGTACGACAGTAGATCTCGATCAGTCTGTCGTGCTGAGAGCAGATCTTCTCCTGTAGCTGTGAGGAGGCTTTGACCAGCTTGTGCCTTTTCAATGCAGGAACTTCACAGTGAGGTTTAAGATGAGTTTCACAAAAGGAGGCCAGACACGTCAGACAGGACTTGATGGCTTTGAGTTTTCTCCCAGTGCAGAAATCACACTCCACATCTCCAGGTCCAGCGTAACGGGGAGCAGGAGAAGCAGCTCGGAGTTCTGTCTTCTTCAGTTTCTCCACCACTTCAGCCATTACGTTGTTTCTGCGTAGAACAGGCCTTGGAGTGAAGGTCTCTCTGCACTGGGGGCAGCTGTAGACCCCCCTCTGATCCTCCTGATCCCAGCAGCCATTAATACACACCATACAGAAACTGTGTCCACAGTTGATGGTCACTGGATCCTTCAGCAGATCCAGACAGACTGGACAGCTGAACTGGTCGTGATCTACTGAGATACTGGCCATTTTCCTGCACTTCTAGTCTGAGAGAGAGCAGCTCTCTGAGATCAGTTTCATTTTCTCTGAACTGAGTAGGAGGGACTTCCTGGTTTTCTTTTGGTTAAGGTGTCACAGAGAGGAGGTGGAGAAAAAGAGGAGGAGGGGGACGAGGGAAGAAACAAGCTTTAGATTCAGATCAGCCACTGGATTAAACCCAGTCCAGCTTGTTAGAGTGTGGATCTTCATTTTTCTGCCTCATTATTGCAGCTTTACAGCTGACAAATAAAAACACTACCAACTCAGATTAAACCAAACTATTTATTTTCCTTAACAGCTGAAAGACAAAAATAAATTCTAGCTCATCAAAGTTTACTTGGCTATTGTTCTAGCTGTGCTGTATAAAATTAGCTAACTGGGTAGTGAAGCAGCGAGCAAATATATCTAACATTAGCTCACTCAGTACCTGTTAACTCACTGGGCTAAATGTTCACATTTCTGAGATAACTGTTTGCAGCCCGACCAACTTATATCATGATACATGCTTGTAAACATTAACATTAATTCATGAAGCCTCATTTACAACATTTCTCTCAGTTTGTGTTGAAGATTCACAGAAACTGGCACATTTACCAAATTGACTGTTACCAAATTGTGATAAATCCCACCTTTCTTAGTTACTGTTGTCTGTAAAACTTCAGCTCAAACCCACCTGGTAGCATCTGTAGCATTTGTGCTAACAGACAAACACTTCATACACTTTATTATTCATAAATAAACTGGCTTTACAAGATGTTCAGTGCAGACCTGCATGTTTTAGAGTTTGAGATTGATGGAATTTGAATGGAGGCCAATTGAAAACAAGTATAAAATGATTCTGGAAATGATTAAAGGGAACTCTCACTGTTAAGACTTATAGGCCTCCATATGGTGAACATGTCCAATACCATTTGAATATACTGTAGCGTCCCATGGCCATGCAGAGCACCATGGGTACTGTTATGGCAGCAGTGAGAGAGGCTAAAATCATGTACAGTGGTGTGAAAAAGTGTTTGCCCCCTTTCTGATTTCTTATTCTTTTGCATGTTTGTCACACTGAAATGTTTCAGATCACCAAACAAATTTAAATATTAGACAAAGATAACACAAGTAAACACAAAATGCAGTTTAGAAATGAAGATCTTTATTATTAAGGGAAAAAGAAATACAAACCTATAGTGCCCTGTGTGAAAAAGTGGTTGCCCCCTAAACCTAATAACTGGTTGGGCCACCCTTAGCAGCAACAACTGCAATCAAGCGTTTGCGATAACTGGCAATGAGTCTTTTACAGCGCTGTGGAGGAATTTTGGCCACTCATCTTTGCAGAATTGCTGTAATTCAGCCACATTGGAGGGTTTCCGAGCATGAACTGCCTTTTTTAAGGTCATGCCACAGAATCTCAATCGGATTCAGGTCAGGACTGACTAGGCCACTCCAAAGTCTTAATTTTGTTTTTCTTAAGCCATTCAGAGGTGGACTTGCTGGTGTGTTTTGGATTGTTGTCCTGCTGCAGAACCCAAGTGCGCTTCAGCTTGAGGTCACAAACAGATGGCCGGATGTTCTCCTTCAGGATTTTTTGGTAGACAGCAGAATTCATGGTTCCATTTACCACAGCAAGTCTCCCAGGTCCTGAAGCAGCAAAACAGCCCCAGACCATCACACTACCACCACCATATTTTACTGTCGGCATGTTGTTCCTTTTCTGAAATGCTGTGTTACTTCTACGCCAGATGTAACGGGACATACACCTTCCAAAAAGTTTAACTTTTGTCTCGTCAGTCCGCAGAGTATTCTCTCAAAAGTCTTGGGGATCATCAAGATGTTTTTTGGCAAAACTGAGACGAGCCTTTATGTTCTTTTTGCTCAGCGGTTGTTTTTGTCTTGGAACTCTGCCATGCAGGCCATTTTTGCCCAGTCTCTTTTTTATGGTGGAGTCATGAACACTGACCTTAACTGAGGCAAGTGAGGCCTGCAGTTCTTTGGATGTTGTTGTGGGGTCTTTTGTGACCTCTTGGATGAGTCGTCGCTGCGCTCTTGGGGTAATTTTGGTCGGCCGGCCACTCCTGGAAAGGTTCACCACTGGTCCATGTTTTCGCCATTTGTGGATAATGGCTCTCACTGTGGTTCGCTGGAGTCCCAAAGCTTTAGAAATGGCTTTATAACCTTATCCAGTCTGATAGATCTCAAACACTTTGTTTCTCATTTGTTCCTGAATTTCTTTGGATCGCAGCATGATGTCTAGCTTTTGAGGATCTTTGGGTCTACTTCACTTTGTCAGGTAGGTCCTATTTAAGTGATTTCTTGATTGAGAACAGAGGTGGCAGTAATCAAGCCTGGGTGTGGCTAGGGAAATCGAACTCAGCTTTCCAAAGATGTGATAAACCACAGTTAATTTATGTTTTAACGGGGCAATCACTTTTTCACACAGGGCCCTGTAGGTTTGGATTTCTTTTTCCCTTAATAATAAAGACCTTGTGTTTGTCTAATATTAAAATTTGTTTGGTGATCTGAAACATTTAAGTGTGACAAACATGCAAAAGAATAAGAAATCAGGAAGGGGCAAACACTTTTTCACACCACTGTAAATAGTTGATGCTGATAGCTGAGAGATGTGTGTTATGTGTGCTGTAGTGTGTTGTTCTGTGTGGGGAGATTAGGTGGGTCTGTGTATCTACCAAGTACTAGAGTTGGTGGCCACTGGTGACTTGCCTGCTTCCCTGCTGTGTTGGTCAGCGCTGTGTTAATAAAAGAGCACTCGTTTGAAGAACTATGGTTCCTGCGTCTTCTTATTCTATGCCAGATCTCGCAATATTGCCTAAACCGATAGAAGTAGACAAAATTCTTTTAATCAGGCTGCCATTTTTGTTGCCACATCAAATGATTTCTCTCTCTAATTATCGAGCTAATTATCTCATTAACTCATCATATTAGAGTTAATTATCTCATTAACTCTAATATATCAGTCAGGCTTTCCAACTTTACCCAGATCGTGACATCACTCAAGAGAAAAGCTTTACTGATTGACTTATTTTCCATAATACTGACTCCACTGCAACCATATGACATCATCACAGTGCGACAATGGTGACCTGTTAGTAGAGGAATTTTACATATTTGTCCTTTCTCTTCCATAATAAACAAAACATTTGCACTTCGTTGATGTCATATTTTAATAGTATTGGACATCTACACTGTTTCAAGGCATACAAGTCTCAACAGTCAGACTTCCCTTTAAATTTATCCAATCAGCGAAATCTTATCACCTCTGGACAATAAAGCAGCAAATTTTCATGTCTAATAATGAGGAGGTTTAAGGAACTTCCCATGAATAGAGTTCAGTTAATGCCTCATTACCTGTTTAAAAGCAATAAAGTGAATTTTGTCTGTGAAGATAGCTGGACTTTAACCTATGATACAGTGATTAAAATTAGAATTTAAATGATCACAAGAACACTTATAGTGTCTGAATCCACCTTTAATGTGGTGATTTTGTGCTGTCGCACCTCACTGACATAGACGTTTTCTATGAAATATATTCATTAAACTCTTCCAGAAACTCTTCCAGAAACGATGCACAGAAAATGTCTCCTTATGTATGTAAGCAAATCAGTAATAAAATGATATATACTAATGTTCTAATGTAATTACCTCTCTATAAAAGCACATAGCAGAACATATGAGAACACAAACTCTTATCTTAATATTTCTCTTACAGTGATCATCTCACATGTTATCTCAACAAAACATACAGGCACATTTTAAAATGCCATCACTAACCACCTACAGTAATGTGTAAGTATTACCTGAGATTGACACGTTTAGAACATGATTAAAACATCATTAAAACAATAGATTTAGAGGAGAAAAAATAAGCATTAAAATAAAAATCAAATAAACAATTACAGTAGGATAATACAGTGCTGTCACAGGATAAAACTGCAGTAGAGCAAACAGTGTTTAAAACTGAGCTGAAAGCTGCTCATATAGGAAGCAGCCCAGATTTAAAGTGTCCAGTGTCCAGTGTCCAGGCTCTTCTAATGGTCTCGGTCAAGTAGTTAAATTTAAGAACAGCGTAGTAACTAAACGCTGCTTCTCCATGTTTGTTCTTTACCTGACAAGTTCCTAATGATCTGAGAGTTCTGCTCAGCTCATATTGCTGCAGGATATCACATAAATATGCAGCTCCAACATAAAGCGATTTATACATCAGTAATAGTACCTTAAAGTCAGTAATGATTTAGCAAAGCTACATCCTTAACAGTTATGTTGAGACCTTTTGAGATTCACCACACCCAGAGCATGACGATGACAGCGTGTGCTCCGAGTCACATGGTGAGAGATATTTATAAAGTTCACGTTTGGTGGAGCCGACTCTGTACTGTAATGAAATCATTCATTAAATAAGACTTATTTGTGAGAAATCTAATATTGAGAAGAGCTAATTTAGCTGCTGTGACTCACATTTTACATACTTCAAAATGATCTGACATGTACTCCCTATTCTTTCTGTTACTGATAAAAATGTCCACTTCTTGCTTCGAAGTGCTCCTGACTTGTCCATATATAATGAGCTCAGACACTGCAGCTTAAAACAAAACATAAACTTCTGTAATTAAAGAAAAGGAATGAACACTTCAGAGCTAAGCAGAGAAGCTTCTTATACCACCAAACGACTTTTCAAGCGATTTCACTGTCGCAGACAAATTTCCAACGTTGGAATAAAATCATGAGAGTCTTGTCGATCGTTTAGTGTGAGGTGGTCAAGATGGCGGTCTTAATCCAGTCTTTTTCTCGTCTTGACATCAACCGTGTCTAATATTATCTTAAGTTTTAAGTCTTGGCTCATGCAAATAGTGATGTGCCAGGGGCGCGTGTGAGTGCTTGCGGGCGAACGTGCATGAGAGAGAGAGAGAGAGAGAGAGAGAGAGAGAGCATGCATGAGATCATATTTCTTTCCTTTCTGTTTCAGTCGTTTCTTATTTTGTTTGTTTTTTATTGTTCAGTTCATGACACCCAGTCAGCAATGCTGAATCGCTGCATGT